AATTTAACAATCATTACTGCCTGATGACATTTTCCCAAATCTGCAAAGCTCACTGGAAGGACACAAACTGAGGAAAACTATTCTGATATAGATGGTTTATTTAGTTGTCTGAAAATATAACACGTTTCTGGCGCTATAATTGGTACACCTAATACCCTCGAAACGACCAACAACACATCATGAAATAATAAATTGGAGTGGGAGATATAGATTTTTACTTTGTCCCACTGAGGGAAACAGTTTGGGTGCCCCTGATACATAGGCGGAGCTGGGTAGAGTAGCCAACTACTGTACTCAAGTAAGAGCAACACCACTTCAATGCCTTTTACTTGAGTAAAAGTAGCTGTTCAAGAAATTACTCAACGGTAAAAAAAAGTATTTAATTAGAAGGCTAGAGTCCTGAGTATCATCCGATCTCGTATTTTTAAAATGATGACCTCAAACAGGCAAACATAAGAGTTATGGGTAAATGTTGGTATTTTAAAGACTAAAAAGGTAAAAATGTTAACATAATTACAAAATAACTCATTTTTGGCTACATTTAGACAAACTGAGAATATTTTCCTGATAGACAGGGTTTATCTAGTTGTCTGAAAATCTAACGTTTAAAAGATAATACCACGATCATACCAAAAACCTTGATTATTTTGGTCACAATAACAATGACGTTACATTTTCACTAGGGCTATATTGAAGCCTTGATAACGTCGACGGCTCGATTCTAAAAATTTGTCGACGTCAGATCCGGTAGTCGACGCACCACGCCCACTTGTTGCATCCCCAGGAGTTTGTAAATAGAGGAGGAATCTGCCTGTTTTTCCTCTAGTTCGCCCTCTTCTCCGCCTTCACTAACATCTCCACCAAATACCGAAGACCCGGAACAACGTCCGTCCGCTACTAGATTCCTTTACTTCCGGGGTCAGATGCGCTGCTTCGTCTCTATCGCAGATATAGACAATCACCGGTAGCGTTTCTCCCTTCATAAAGGAGCTTCTTTCAGACATTAGGAGAGCTGTTTTGGTGCTAGCAGTCTCTCCTCCGTGCTGGTCTGTTTGCTGGGTATTTTGGTTTATTTATACTTGGTAACTTGAACTTAACGTTGGTAAAGCTACTGTTAGCATTTTAGCTAGCAGCTTCTTGGGTTTGGATAAGCTGTTATGTTATGGTTTAGAGTTCATCTTTTTTGTGGTGTAGATCTCCCTTTTATTACATTTAGAGTGTTGTGGGGTTTCGGTTTAGTTTAAAATATCACCTTGAGTTTGGTTTAACCGCCCAGTTTAGAGTTTGGACCTTTGGAGATCCTTATTTTGGTCCAGAACCCTGTAATCTTTGCCCAGTGGGACATCCCTAGTTATTTGTACTTTTGTTTTAATTCCCCACAGGCAGAATTAGTTTTATTATTCCCAACCTGTGGATGGAAAGATTTACAGGTGCTGGCCAGTAAATTAGAATATCATCAAAAGGTTGAAAATATTTCAGTAATTCCATTCAAAACGTGAAACTTGTACATTATATTCATGCAATGCACACAGACCAATGTATTTCCAATGTTCATTACATTTAAATTTGATATTCATAAGTGACAACTAATGAAAACTCCAAATTTGGTATCTCAAAAAATTAGAATATTCTGAAAAGGCTGAATATAGAAGACACCTGCTGCCACTCTAATCAGCTGATTTACTCAAAACACCTGCAAAGGCCTTTAAAAGGTCCCTCAGTCTTGTTTTGAAGGCACCACAATCATGGGGAAGACATCTGACTTAACAGCTGTCCAAAAGACAATCATTGACACCTTGCACAAGGAGGGCAAGACACAAAAGGTGATTGCTAAAGAAGCTGGCTGTTCGCAGAGCTCTGTGTCCAAGCACATTAACAGACAGGCGAAGGGACGGAAAAAATGTGGTAGAAAAAAGTGTACAAGCTCTAGGGATAACCGCACCCTGCAGAGAATTGTGACGACAAACCCATTCAAAAATGTGGGGGAGATCCACAAAGAGTGGACTGCAGCTGGAGTCAGCGCTTCAAGAACCACCACGAGGAGACTCATGAAAGACATGGGATTCAGGTGTCGCATTCCGTGTGTCAAGCCACTCTTGAACAAGAAACAGCGCAAGAAGCGTCTCGCCTGGGCCAAGGACAAAAAGGACTGGACTGATGCTGAGTGGTCCAAAGTTATGTTTTCTGATGAAAGCAAGTTCTGCATTTCCTTTGGAAATCAAGGACCCAGAGTCTGGAGGAAGAGCGGAGAAGCACAGAATCCACGTTGCATGAGGTCCAGTGTAAAGTTTCCACCGTCAGTGATGGTGTGGGGTGCCATGTCATCTGCCGGTGTTGGCCCACTCTGTTTCCTGAGGTCCAGGGTCAATGCAGCCGTCTACCAGGAAGTTTTAGAGCACTTCATGCTTCCTGCTGCTGACCAACTTTATGGGGATGCAGACTTCACCTTTCAACAGGACTTGGCACCTGCACACAGTGCCAAAACCACCAGCACCTGGTTCAAGGACCATGGTATCCCTGTCCTTGATTGGCCAGCAAACTCGCCTGACCTTAACCCCATAGAAAATCTATGGGGTATTGTGAAGCGGAGGATGCAATACGCTAGACCCAACAATGCAGAGGAGCTGAAGACGACTATCAGAGCAACCTGGGCTCTCATAACACCTGAGCAGTGCCACAGACTGATCGAGTCCATGCCACGCCGCATTACTGCAGTTATTGAGGCAAAAGGAGCCCCGACTAAGTATTGAGTGCTATACATGCACATTCTTTTCATGTTCATTCTTTTCAGTTGGCCAACATTAGAGAAACAAACATTTTTTCAATGGCCTTTAGAATATTCTAATTTTCTGAGATACCAGATTTGATGTTTTCATTGGTTGTCACCTATAAATATCTAAATTAAACGTAATAAACATCGGAAATACATTGGTCTGTGTGCATTGCATGACTATAATGTACAAGTTTCACGTTTTGAATGGAATTACTGAAATATTTTCAACCTTTTGATGATATTCTAATTTACTGGCCAGCACCTGTATGTTTTTTTGTAGTTGTAAATAAACCTGATCATCATTTTTACTTTTAAATCCCGTTAATGTCCCTTCCTTTTTGCACACGAGCCAAACTCCCCAGGAAGGGTCGTAACACCACTCGCCTCATGCACATAAGTGACCAAAACAAAGCAGCACGGAGACACTCCGTCTCCAACCACCTCTCAAGCAGCAGCCTGCACTCCCAAGTTCTACACGTCACCAGAACATAACCAACCTCAACACAATAAAAGCAGTGTTATACAAAATGGAAGGCCTGTAGTGTTTATTCTCTTACAGTAACAATTTATCAATTTTTTTGAAGAATTTATTAGAGATAAATTTTTTTTTATTAACTGTGCAATAAAAAATAATGATTAGATTAATTGTCTAAATAGTCATTAGAATAGTCGACTATTTGATAAAATAATCGTCAGAATAATCATTTTAAAAATAATCGTTTACCCCCAGCCCTAATTTTCACATTGTGACAACCCTACCGTCAAGTACCTCATTTACCTGAAACAACTGAATGGAGAAACAGGAAGTGGTTGCATAGGGGGAATCGTTGTATATAGCTGAGTCAGAGACCCCAGAGACAGGTGAGGCTGTTGCAAACGCATGATCGGACTTGATTAAGTGGTTATTGAAGAAATTTACCTTTTAGTTTTGGGGTCTGAACTATTCATCAGAAACGGGTTCTTATAATATTCAGATTTTGATTTTCTGATTGGCTGGATACAGATCTGAAGGATTGCAAGTCGCAGATATTCATGGATATCTTTGCCAGGATTGATGCTTGGTTGTGAAACATTTTTAACTCTGCCTTTATATTATCTAAAATGGAGATAATGAAGTTTTTAAAAGTGACCAAGCATCCTCGACAGTAGGAACGAGGCTAACTCTATGCCATCGTTCTTTTGCCAAGTCATGTAAAAAGGCCTGCTCATTGAGGTTGTTTTTATAAATGCACTGTACAACTCTTGCGGTCAGTTTTTGCAAAATATTTTATCAAATTGGTTTCGTATTGGGTAGGCTTAAATATCAGTCTAAACCCCTTCGGCCATAAACTACGAGTGAGTGTTTGGCTTTTTTATACTAAGAAACAAGAGTTGTTGTGATCGTCTTGTTTTTCTTTTTCTTATTTATTTTTTTCCTGACTGTGTCCTGTTCAATTTTATGATAGAATAAATAAATAAAATAAACATTAGTCTTAAAAATCGTCTTAAATGATCGAGATCTCAGTGTCAGTCTAAATAATTGTGATCATCATTTTTGCCATAACTGAGCAGCTCTACCTAAATTTGTCGTTTTCCGACCACTTGGCTCAGCATTACTTGCTCCTGGTCCAGCGCACCTGCGTCTCAAACATCTGGTTTGTTTACCGTTCTACATGACCGGTGGGAACAGAATAATAACCCAAATGGTTCCACGTGGTCACTCAAATATATCATACAATATTACAGCGAATCACAATAAAGAAAAACACATTTAAAATTAGGACGTTTCCTGAAAAGCATTTACGTCACTGAGAATCCATTTTAATTCCTGTAATGTCTTAATGTTTGAACAATCCGGTTCGTGACCTAATGCTTCTGTGCCTGCAGAAGTCTGCCAAAGCAGGGCAACAGGAGGCAGTTTTACCTCATTCCAGGTGTTTTCTACCGATGTAAAGTTAGTCCAACAGCGTCATAAACAAGATTTATTACGTCACAACTGACCTTTCTTGGACATCCTACGATTTCAATAAACGCGGACGGGTTGAAGGTTCTGATTTGGTTCCGGTCCACATAAGTCTGCTTTTATGACAACCGTTGAAAGAGCCGCGGTTGCGGAAGTGCGACAACAGAATGTCACTTTTCTAACTTATTTCTCCAGGAAACGTTCAGCCGAGTCACGGTTTCAGTCACAACCCGGTCCAGTCTCACCAAACCCCGCCTGCTTCACGGTTCTGATGACCCAACTCACCCAGGCTGAGATCCAGAGCCGCGTCTGACTTCCTGCTGCTTCTTGACACACCGAAACAAATCGACGCGCGCGACGACGACACGCGTGCCTTCGTTATTGAAAACCTTTCAAAATAAAGGTGCACATCCGGGTCATGTTTGACTCATTTGCTTACCAGCGGCTTTCAAAGTAAACGGGATCCTGTTCTGGTTCTTTCACCTGTAAGACGGATGAATAAAATACATCTATAAAAGTAATTGTTTACATTAAATTAGAACTATAAACCTTTGAAATGTATTCTCCATGAGACAATGCGTGACTGTAAACATCAGTGGCAGCTGGTGAGTTTTTTTTTTTTTTTTTTTTTTTTTGGTGGGGCATAACTTAACAGGTGTTCCGAAAAGAGAATGCCAGCCAAGGGGTATTATGGTCTACATTTTTGGAAACCAAGTAGGAGCAAGAGGACCGGGCTGCAAAAAACAATCGTGATATAAGATCTCTGTTTCTAAAGACTCATACTGTACTTCTAACTACTGTACACTGAAACAACTGGTTTTATGACCTGGACTGGGGAAGGATTGGGACTCTACCAACTAGTTTCTACTGACAAAGTAAAAAAGATTTCTTTCAAGATTATTCATCGTTTCTATCCTACAAAATCCTTTTTGAAAAGACGAAAAAAGGAAATGAATGACTGTTTATTTTGTAACCTCCAAGATGAAGATGTTCTACATCTAATCTGGTCTTGTCCATTCTCTGGTCAGTTCTTACAAGAATTTAATATTTTTGTAATAACGTATTTTATTCAAGATTTTTCACTCTCTAAGGAAAAGTTGATATTAGGTTTCTACTACTACCCAGTGAATAAAGCAGACCAATTTTAGATAACCAATTTATTAATATTGCTGGCTAAATTTCAAATTCATAAGACAAAATGTTCTAATGCAAAACCTTGTTTTCAGCAATTTCTCTGTGAAACAAAACAAAATCTATTATCCATTCAACATTCTCACAATGCAAAAGCAATCAAAAGAGTGAATATAGGCTCCTCTATAAATCTCAGCTGGCTGGATGTGTTCTAGCTGTTAAATGTATGTTTTTTTAAATATCACTTGTAATTAGTGTAATGTTCTGACTGCATATTAAGGTTTGTTAAAAATAAATAAATAAAAAGGACCTGGTTGCAGCAAAATGGCGACTTGAGCTCACCTCCAGTCGCCGTCATAGATGTCATATAGATGCCCTAACTGGGAGTCGACAGCGTCCTTACACAGCGGCCATCTGACTTCGGACAGCTAACCGTTCTCTAGCTGGAAGGTGAGTGTGCGGCTCAACTAAAGATACTTATAACTCAATGAAATATTAATGCATTTACAAATGGTTTGCCTTATTACAAACCATATGATACATACACTTGACACGGGATACTTGCACTTGTTGAAATTACCGCTTTTGTTTCCGAAACACAACATATTTGTGATCAATGTGTCCCGCTAAGCCATTTTGCGCGTTAGGTTGAGTGCGAGAGCATAATCAGTATTTTTATAGGGTTCTATAAAACTAAAGAGTGTATGTAAATCTAATTTATGTCTAAATGGCTGTCTTGGTTTTAGTTTAATTAGCTGTCTGTCATGTTGGGAATATGTTTTACCCAGGACATGAAAGAATCACAGACGGAAATGATGGTAAGTGAATAACAAATAATATTTATTAAGAACGATGTGAAACTGAAAACGCTGCTCCAAACGGGAACAGGAGGGACCGAGATCTAGAACGAGAAAGCAAACTGGTGTTAGAATCATGAAACCCTGGAACCAGAGAACCAGAACTAGAATTGTTTGGAGTGTTATTCTTACTGGAGATGATCAGTTTTGGTGAGGCAGGGCTGGGTCTTTGGGGGCCAGGTGGGGACAGACAAACAGCAGAGAGTGAGGATCCAGGACGGGATGAGGAAACAGGTTGCGAGACAGACAGTGAGGCAGGTTATGATGCAGATCCGGAGGCTGGTGGTTAGGCAGGCTGGGAAGCGGGCAGGACGACAGGCGGGCGGTGGAGAGTGAGGAGACCAGGAGGACAGTGAGCGACGTGAGGTTGGATTAACAACTCCAGATGGCGGTGGGTGATTCCTGTGAACAGACGAGCAGGAACCTTCAGGACTCAGTAGATAAGGGCTGAACTGGAACGGGCAGACAAGATTAAAACTGATTAAAATTCAAATGAGACTGCGACTGGCTAGTGTTTACCCAAGATGCGAGTATCAACTGGCACTGGAGTTGCATCACACCACTCCTTAAGTACCCCTGGCCCTCTGATCAGGGAGATCAGGAACAGCTGGCTCTCCGACACGCCCACCTGTTAACACAGAACTGGGACAACTGCAGGGTATTAAATGAAATGAATAATGAGCAGGGCAGGCTGGTACAGTAACCCCCCCCAAGGGATGCCACCTGGCAGCCTAGCAGAGGAGACGGAGGAGGAGGCAGAACAGGAGGCCTCGAAGTCCCAGATGAGGGAGACGCCATCTATCCAGGACCTCGGGACCCATTTGGGCCATTTCCATCTGTACCGGGTCGGCCCGGGCCGGGTAGCGTAGGTTATTTACATATCTGGGTGGCCTGGTATTTTTCCGGGCCAACTGAGGCTCATTCTCAGCCCTCTTCTCGAGGGGGTCTGCTTCAGGCCGACCAGGGCCAACACACCCACTGCTGACAGCAAATTCACACCTTCCATTAGAGCAAGCCTCTGATTGGTGGGTAGAATCAGCCCACATGGGCTTAAGACAAGGATGTGTGGAATCAACCGGGCCAGGCTGGGGCCGACTGGGGCTACCCGGCCCGGGCCGACCCGGTACAGATGGGAATGGCCCAATTGACTGTGTTCTGGGCCATACCCCTCCCAGTCCACAAGGAACTGACGACCACGTGGCCGGACATCCAAGATGCGATGGACCCTGTAGCCGAGACCACGATCAGCAAGGCGGACCAGCGGAGGAGGGTCGGAAGGAGGACACAGGGGGCTGGAGACAACGGGTTTGAGCAACGAGACATGAAACACATAGTGTACCTTCATAGACGGGGGTATGGTCAGGCGGTCAGAGACAGGACTGAGAACAGCTGCGATGGGGAAAGCACCAAGGTAACGGGGAGAGAACTTCCTGGAGGAGTCCCGGAGCTTGATATCACGGGAGGAGAGCCAAACCAAGTCTCCTGGGGCGTAGGCAGGGGCCGGACGCCGGTGTTGATCCGCAATCCTACGATTATGATCCGCTGTACGTTGTAGAGCCAAACGGGTTTGATTCCAGGTGCATCTGGCCCTGCGGAGGAACTGAGGCACAGTGATGGGAGAAGCAGAGTCTGAGGGAAACAGAGGGGGCTGATACCCCAGGGAGACCTCAAACGGGGACTGACCTGTGGAGGAGAAGGTGTGGGAGTTGTGTGCGTACTCCATCCATGGCAACTGTGAACTCCAACTGGAAGGGTTGGAGGAGCAGACGCACCTGAGCATAGCCTCAAGCTCCTGGTTTAGGCGTTCACACTGGCCATTTGTTTGTGGACGAAAACCTGAGGTGAGAGAGACCTGGGCCCCAAGGTGGGTGGCGAACTCTGTCCAAACGCGGGCTATGAACTGAGGTCCTCTGTCTGAGAGGATCTCGGAAGGGATGCCATGCAATCGAAAAACATGTTTAATGAGGAGATTAGCAGTTTCTGCAGAGGAAGGAAGGGGTTTCAACGAGACCAGATGACAGGCTCTGGAAAAGCGGTCAACTACAGTGAGTATGGTAGTGAAGCCCTTAGAGGGAGGTAGACCAGTCAAAAAATCTAGGGCTATGTGAGACCAGGGGCGAGGAGGTACCGGCAAGGGTTGGAGAAGACCTTGAGGGGCTTGGTTGCTACTTTTCGACCTGGCACAGACTTGACAGGCGCTAATGTATTCTTTCATATCTTTATACATTGAAGGCCACCAAAAGGTTCTACGAATGAGCGCTAAGGTTCTGCCAAGGCCGGGGTGAATGGAAAATCTAGCAGTGTGTGCCCAGTGGATTAGGGAGTCACGGGTGCTGGAAGGATAACTTAATTTACATTTGATGGCAAAGGAATAAAATAAATAAATTTAAACGTATTCACCAGGTGAATCAGCTCGCATGTCACCACCAAGAGTCACAGGTCCAGATTCAGTTGCCTCCTGGATGATATCAGCTTGCTCTAGCTGCCACTGCCAGCTCACTGTTGGAATTAAGACCTTTGCCTGATGTCGATAGAATGTCTGCTTGGACAGTCCCTGCACATTGAAGGCACCCAGGAACTAAAATATGAAAAGTTACGTCATGAAATGAGAGACGCACGGACCTTATCAAAACTAACCTAAACATTTTTGGCCTATACCTCAGAAATCTGGCTAAATGATGAGCCAGACATTCTGGAAGATGAATTTCCGTCATGGTCCCTGTGTCACCAGACACACTGCAGCTGGGAGCTCTAAACTGGGTGGCTATATAAAAAACAAAGAAACAGCACATTTATAAATGTTTAAAAGAGCATAAAATCATGTGTAACAATAATCTGTAAAACAAATTAAAACTAGAAGGTAATAATAAAATGTTTACATAGACGATTATTAAAAATAATTCACACTTGCTACGGGTAAGGCTTAACTTCAGCCTGGACAAGTGCATTCTTGCAGCCTACTAAATCAGTCTGACACCCAGTGTCTTGGGTAGATTTAGCCTGGAAAAAAAATAGAAGCACATTGTTGTTGGAGTTTATAAAGTCAGATAATATACAAAAGAAACTGTCAGATATAGGTGCTTTATAACATTCCTAGTATGTGATCGTTATTATAATGTAAAAGTCAGACACATATGATGTGGAGAGATTTGTAAAGGGGTTTGCAGCGCAGTGCAGGACCACGGCACATGCGATAAGATTTCCTCCCACTGAAGCGGTCTGGAAACCCGGTCTCTCTGAGGGATGTGTCACTTGGAAAAATGTTCTTTTTATGAAATTATTAAACTTTGGCTGAACAGCGCTTGTTCCCGTCTCTAATATGGACACGCATGACGCATCCAGTCTGAGGCAGAATAGCAGCGCAGAAAGCACCTGTAGAGACATTTGATCACGCA